ATCTCTTAAAACAGTGTTAACTCCTTTTGCACTGAGACAGGGCGGCATAGAGTCTGGTTTTATGCCCCAACCAGCTACCTCTGTCCTAGTATTCAACATATTCCTGTTTTATTTACTTACTGAATTTGTACCCCATTTGTTTTGCTACTCAAAGCCTCTAAAAGTTAGGCTGGGGTGTGTGTGTGTGTGTTTGTACAGGCATACATGGGTCTATTAAAAAATATAGCTAAACCATTTTAGATGCATTATAAATGCATCGATAAAACAAACTGCATCCATACCACTGAGCAACTAGACCAGTTTATCCACCAAAGCCTTGCCTTAATAAAAATGTTTTTATTTGCCAGTAGAGAGAAGGAGTTCCATTCTGTGGCCTGGGAGCAGGCACAGACTTCCATTCTGTGGCCTGGGAGCAGGCACAGAAGAATATTCACACCAAATGTGCTTAGTAAAAAAACTAAGCAGCCCCTCCTGTGGGTCTTAAAAGCCAGGCAGAATCCAAAGGAAGAGCCTTGTCCTTCAAATAGCAAGTTAAAGCTGATTACCCATCCTTTGTATTGCATTACGGTTGGATCCAGTAGCTCAGTTAGCCACACTTTGGCCTCACTGAAACCAATGCAAAACGTCAGCTATGAGTAACTTAATTTTTATTCATTTTGTAGAGACCTTAGCATAAATAAGTTAAACCAGTGGGTCCAATGCATAGGGTATGACTGTCCATTCTGAGCCAAATTATTGATGTAGCATCCTGAACAAGAAAATAACCTCTAAGTTTGGAAAATCTTTGTTCAGGTATCATCTTCATAGTGAACTCCTGGTTGGTCTAAGGGAAGCCTCGCTTTCCTAGACTTAAAACACGTAGGGTTGTTGTAAGGTTTACAAGAAGTCCAAGGCATTTTTCTTTAGCTGCATGTATCTGGGCTGAGATGGCCTGATTTGTTGGGATATGCCTGAGCAAAATTGAAAGTTTCATTTCAGATAGTGAGGTGGAGGGTTAAAAATAGAAGAGACATTTTTGTACACGCCAAGAGCTCCTACCATCCTTGACATTATTATTGTGTTCCACAGCAATATTCCAGCATTGAATCATGGTTAAAATTCTGCCCTGCATGTGATTCAGAGGTGCTCGCTTCTTCCGCCTTTGCCCCCCTCTTTACGCACCCCCCATGTTTTTCTGGCTGTGCTATCATGTTTCACCAAGGCTGAGGGTGAGTGAGCTGGCATTTCGCAGTGTTTCTCAACCTTAGCAACTTTAAGATAAGTGGACTTCAACTCCCAGAACTCCCCAGCCAGCCATGCTGGCTGGGGAATTATGGGAGTTGAAGTCCACTCATGTTAAAGTTGCTAAGGTTGAGAAACACTGTTGAAAGACTTGCCCTTGTTTTACAGAAGAGGAAGTACAGCCGTCAGGCAGGGCACACAGACATATCAGAGTGCCCCAGTGCTATCTGCTTTTCCTTCAGTGCCCAGACTTGCAGGAAGATTCGGGGGTGGGGTAAGCTGGGAGGATCTAGTGGGTAAGCCCTCACTGGCATCTGAAGAGCTCCTATTTCACTCACCCTGACGTTGGAGATCTACAAGTTAGTCTGTGCAACGTGGGCACCGCCTTCCTTTGCTCGCCAGATGAGACTCTCTTTCCCCCGTTCCCTTCCTCCTCCCCTTCTCGTCTTTACTTTTTTTTCTTCTCATTGAACTATCCGCCTTTTTCTGTGCTTTCTCCAAAGCCATCCCAACCCCCAGCTGCTTGAAACTCCCAGCACTGAGTGTTAAAAAAACAGAGACTTTCTTCTTGTTGGTGAACTTTGGGCAGTGAGATGAACTTGGCAACCCCAATGCAATTTGCAAATCCGGGCATACCCAGGGCAATTTCTGCTGCAAAGGAGTGTGAAGCGTCGGGAAGGTAGGGGTGGCCTTCTATTTTGAGGCACTAATCATGGCAGCACCCCTTCCTCCTCTCAGACTTTCTAACTAATGACAGTATGCATGGTGGGGGAGGGAAGTTTAGCAAAAACAGACAGATACAGAAACAAGTTTGTCTGGGTACCTGGGTGTCTGCACGTATACCGAGGGGAAGTGAAAATAGGTACTGGAGAGCCAAAAGGGAAAACATGTGGGGTGGGGGAATACTGATGGGTATATCAGAATGGCTGAGTGTATTTTCAGTTTGATTCTAAGATACTACCACTAACATCTAAAGAGACACGTCCGTGAGTGCTTTTGTACCTCCAGTGAAGAAATCCAAACTTTAAGCGTGTCTGTATGTGATTCTTAGTTTGCATGACTTCACCTTTCATGCTCTATTTCATTTAAGGAGAATGTAATACTGGCAAGAAGTTTGTAGATGTGGGCAGGAAGCAAGCTATGCAATAGGAAACAAGCCACAGACATTTATACAATTTCAAAAAAGATGTCTTTTTTCTTTAAAAACCATGAAAATTTCACTGCTGTGATGTCATACCAGCCTTCAGGTTTCATGTCCTCATGATATATAGTAGTCATATCCTTAATGTTACCCTCCCACCATTTCCTAGCCTCTGATAGGCCAAGTCCCTAGAAAGCTAGTTCATACATTACATTTCTTTGCTATATCTATGATAATTGATCTATATTAAGCTAGGAAATTAAAACTGTATCTGTTTAAAAGGACATTAGTACCAATGTTGATGTGTGCATTTTAAATCTAAGCTTAAAACACAAAAGTAGCAAAAAGACAATGACAGCCAGGATATTTTATGTTAATATGAATTATAAATAGTGGAAATTAACATAAATGGCAGGTAAACCAAAAAAAATTTTTTTGTTGTTGGTATAAACAAATCTAATTTGGCGTTGCGGGTTTTTGAATACTTACTGGGACTAAGGTCTACTGAACTGAGTAACAATTCTGTGCATATGTTTGAACTGTGTATGTGTCACCTGGAAATACCTGGGAGTAGATGTGTGACTGTATTGTTTATAAAATTACAGTGTTCTTTTCCCCTTTTTCAATTTGTCTTGGATTCAAGGATTTTCTGTGGAGCCACTGCACCTTCTTGGCGCCTGACAGACTTTTTGCCCTACGTGGCTTTGATTGTTGTTTGTTTTAGATTCTTTTGATTTAAAATATGGGAGACTAGCATTCTGCAAAGGAAATGCAAGGTCTCCAACCTACGTGTATTTCCTAGATTTCTCTAGTCATTTGCACATAGGCATTCTTAATAAATAAAAATAGTAGGTGGCTGCCACCCCTGTGCTTTGTTTTGAAATGTGTCCATGTGCCCAGAGTGAAAATAGAAACCAAAATAAGTTGGGTAACAGGAGCTATCATGGGAGGTTAGAGGAAGACACCTCAACAGCTTGCGTTCTGGTAAATGGATGTTTGTGACCATTTTGTGGGGGCCCACAACTTGTTCTCAAAATATCAGATTTTACGTCTAATGCAAATTTCATTACCTCAGGGTAAGTTTTCAAAAGTAGGTCCATGTAGAGTAGACAAAGAGGTGATATACTGTAGGTCACTGTAGCCAAGGCCACCTCCTCCAGGAAAGGGCACAATTGGCATAAAACTAAGCTGGGCAAAAGCCCTTTTAGCCATGACTCCCATCAAACTGTCCAGCAGTAGCTGTGAGTCTAAGATGACCTCCAAGTCATGGACTTTCTCCTTCACTGGCAATGTGACCCCATCAAGAGACCCCACTGGAGCAGAGAAAGAGCCAGATAGTTTCTAGATAAACAGTCAGTCAGTCTTGCTGGGATTCAACTTCAGCATTTTTTCCTGTACAGATGCTTACAGCCCCCAGGCATTGGGTCAGGACTTCCACCACATCACTGTTCTGTCCCAGGGTGGAGATATATATCATCTCAAACCAACATATGACTGCTTCTGTCAGCTTCATTTAAATGTTAAATAGCAGAGAAGAGAGAGAGAAGAACGCTATAGCACCCTGCATTGGAGCAGCGTTAGATCAGCCAATCTCTCCTCCTTCTCCATCATCCATTCAGGAAAGAGCAAAACCATTGTAAAACAGTGCCCAAACTCCCTACTCCTGCAGGCAACCCAGAAGGATAACATGATGGATAGTATTGAATGCTGCTGGGAAATCCAAGAGGATCAAGAAGGATGGATTCCCTCTTTCAAGTCATCTACCAGTGCAACCAACATAGTTGCCATCCCATTCCCAGCCTTGCGCCGTGACTGAAAGGGAGCCAGTACTCCTTTGCTCGATAGACTCTTTCTCAGCACAGGGCTTTAACGTCATCTGCTCCCTGCTCCTTCATGTGCAGCCTGGGTTCTCCTACCAAGCATTTCCCAAAAATAAAAATTGCCAATGAATCATCAAGGAATAAGCAGAATTATTATAGGAATTGAAATCTATGGCACCTAATCCTTCTTTTAACTATAGCTCAGTCAGAAGGAAGACCAAAAGCCTTGAACATGGGGAAAATATAAAAAATGGTTGCTGATCCCCAATAAAAAAAAAATGGCTAGCTCACAAATTTAATTTGTCTAAACCATCATTTGGAAGTAGCTTAAGACTTACAAGGAGAACCAGCCCCTTCGCACAGACTGGCATGGGCAAGCATCTTTATCAAGTCGTTTAACCAATTCATTTGCTACATCTTCAGCAGGTTTGGGCGTATTGTCCGATTTTTTCAGATTGCACTGCACGAAGGGGATTTTTGGTATAATTTAATTAATTAAGATTTTTAAAAAGTCACATCTCTAGTCCCTCAGGCAACAAAGAGATGTGAGCAGTGGTCTCTTGCTCATCTTTTTTGAACCTAACGTGGCTTTGGATTTTCTGACAATAAGTCAGAGTTCGCTGGGAACTGGAAGGGGGGGTGTTTTTTGGCAGATGCTCTAGAGGAGGAGACAGGACTGTTGTCCAAGGGTAATGGAGAAAAACTATTTTTGAAATACACACTCTTCTGCCTGTATCACCTTTCCCTTACTTCTTCCTTTCTCACCTGTTGCTGGAAAAGGCAAAACCTTATCTGTGTTTTTGATCTTCCTTTTACAGAGTCGAAAAGACAAAGAAAGGCCTAAACAGAAGCACAAGAAGCATTCAGAATCCCCCACCAATCTCACACTGTCTTCCACACCCATAGTCACCGAGAAGGTAATGAGAAATGCATGTAAAATGTTTGCAACAGAGGTCTGGGGGTTTTTTTTAACAGTGACAGCCCGTCTGTGTCTACTCCACACTTTGCCCAATCACATTCATAATTGATGTTTGATGCACATTCAGCTTTCCAAAAAATTCAGGTTTTTTTGTTTGTTTAAAATGGACCATGTTTCATGGCTCTGAAGATGAACTTATAAATGATGAAATCTGGAAGTGAGCCCTAATCACTCACCTCATTATACTGCATATAATGTTAATGTTCCCCATAGCTATTAAAAATACAGTGCAGCAAGTAAACACATGTTGAATTTTTTACTTGATTTTCCACGTTGCAGAATTCACCCTTCTTTTAGACTCAAATTTAAGTGCAGAATGAGAATTTTATACACAGCCTACTTGAGAGCTCCCCTAAGAGTAGAAGAAAAGAAGGATAAGAGAGGGGAGAGGAAAAAACATAAGGAAACAGAGTCTTGTCCTACACCAATTTGTTTCAGGTTCTAATTGTTTACATTTTCTCCACCCTCCACTTCCTCACTGCTTGGTAAAAGCCAAGTCACGGGAATTCCATTTTGCAGCTGTTGGCTGCTAATGACACCATCACTAAGCTGAGCCCTCCGGTGATTGTAGAAGCAAGTCCTAACTCATTCTTGAAGCGCATGTTCCAGTTCAAGCCTCCTATAGCATTTATAACTTAATAGCAGAGCTTTGCTTTCTCTCTGTCTTTCTGCAGTCCACTTGTAAACCAGGAAGGAAAAGCAGGCTTTGTTTGCTAGAACCAGACCTCAGATTACTTACCTGTATCAGCAGTGGCCATTATCAGGCAAAACAGAGACATGCAAAGGCTTTAGGAGAAATTGTATTTCTAGATCTTTTTTTTTCAAGGCTCTGGCAAGAGATTTTCTGTGGAAACTCATCTTTCAGACTATCTTCCTTGTCCTGCCATTCTGGTGTTTAATCCAATCCAAGACAGCTGGATGCTTGCACACAGAGATTTTTGCCCTAAAGCATAATGTGGAACTAATACATTATTGGACTTTTAGGCTGGAAATGGGTAATAGATTTGAAAAGAATAGAAGGTGGCTCTGAGAGGTATTGCTTTCTATTATCAGTGAACAGGAGTCTCTTTTGTCCTATTATCACCTTAGGCCAAATGAGTTTTGCAGGGTTTTGAAGTAATACAGACTCCAAATAACCTGTTTACAGGAGGTGTCTATGCTACAAGCAACAATCCCTCTCAAACTATCTAGTTGTATCTCCAGGCTTAAGCTTGCATACTCATTTTGACTTGAAAACAGTAGCATCTGTACCAAACTGCCATGATTTTGAAATGACAAGACATACGTGATGACATCACCCAAATGCCATAATTCTATACTTGCATCCGTTGTCTGATACAAGTACACAAGTCACTGTATTTGCATGATCACATCACACAGATTCATTGTTTGCCCTCTTCGATGGAAACCCTTGCTTGGAAATGCTTGTTTGGTTCTAGGAAGTGCTGCGTCAAAGACCACTTCAACAGTTGGTTGTTTCCATGCATGCATACTTTACAACAAGGTTTTACCTGGTATTTTAGATTATAGGAGATGGTTTGTTTCCAAAGGGTTAATTTGCCATCCTGATTTGGGTTGAAAGGGCTGACTCTCGTGCTGCTGATTTGGAACAAAATGCTTATAATATTATGAGAATTGTGGTCCTTGGGGTTCTCTGAGCTTGGTTGTTTTCTTGCAAACGTTTCACTGCACTGAACGTGCACTGAAGATGTTAT